TGGGTACTCATTTTACCAACCTCGGAAGGATGGAAGGCTGAGTCAACCTTGAGCCGGCTACGTGGGATTTGAACCCCAGGTCGTGAGCACAGTTTTAGCTGCAGTACAGCGTTTTAACCACTGCGCCACGAGGTCTGGACATTTCTGGACATTTCTTCATTCTATTATTATTATGTACGTGTTATGTTCAAGTTGTCTTCCGTTTGGATCTGGAAATCTCCCAAGATCTTGACCTCCTTGTTTTCTGACATCTTCTCTACCTGATGTTCCCACGGGTTTTTGGAGGGTGGCAAGTTATATTTTTTGCATAATAACTAGTGTACTAATTATGCATGTCTAACTTTGTAATCTGTTTGTGCAGTCTTTGGACATTCACAGATGAGGTGTGACACAGTTTCATCTTTTTCTTGGCAAAGTCAACATCTGGTGTTAGCACTAATTCCTTGGATCTTAGCTTTCATCACATTGGTTTGGAGTGCTTGTTCTTGTGCAGCAAAAATCAAGCCCTCAGTTTCTTTCTTAACGGTCCCCAGTTTTAGCCATGCCCATGTTGAATTATGATCATGCTTTTATGATTATACTTTCCGTCAATATTTCTCAGGTGTTGTCCACGTAGTGGTTTATTATTATTATCATCATCATCATCATCATCATCATCATCATCATCATCATCATCATCATCATCATCATCATCATCATCATCATCCAGCAGTAGCAGCAGCACCATCATCACCACCACTATTACTGCTACTACATTGCACTTTTTATTCCTCAGTCTTCCTCATGCATGGGGAAGACTGAGGAATAAAAAGTGCAATGGAGTAGCAGTAATAGTGGTGGTGATGGATAATACATAGTGATCAAGGGGGAACAGAGCATTACATTGAGCCAGTACTTCCAGTAAGCCATAGATAAGCTGGTCCCTCTTACAGTTCAGCAATTTCTACCAAATTAAATTGGATATATGTTGTATAGAGTTGAAATAAAGTCTCATAAATTCTCTCATAAATCCTATGTTTATTATTATGTCTTTCTTTAAACAGATATTTCCAAACACATAAAGATGAACTCAGAAGTGAGTTTGTTATGCCTCCTTCTGTGCATGACCACTGTTGTCTGTGATCGGGTGTATGTCCATCCCTTTTACCTCTTTTCCCTTAACAACACAAAGAACAACAGCTGTAAAGAACTGGAAGTCAGAGAACAACTGGTCAAGACTTTCATCCCCATCTCTATTGAGTCTTCAGTATCTGAAGAGATCCAGAATGAAGAGGAAAAGAAACACTTAGGTGTGAACTTCTTGAGAGACCCCATTCATACTGTTGGTGCACGCTTCTACAAAGAGCTGAGGAAAATACACAACGAAGATAATATTATTGTGTCCCCCATCCATATATATGAGTCCTTGCTGTCCTTCTACTTAGGAGCCTCAGGAAACACAGCAAACGAACTTCAGACATTGTTAGAATTTGGCGCCACATCTGGTGACCCAAACTGCACCTACAGAATTGACGGGCGCAAAGTCCTCTCTGCTCTGAGGTTCATCATCAATGGTCCATTCCGCTCAAGGGAAAGTGAAGGCCTGCTCTTCTCCAAGCTGTCCTGCCTTTTCTCTGCCCCTGATGTCCGTTTATCTGAGTCCTTTGTTCACGAATTGGTCTTTTCTGATGTTAATTTCTATGTACGTGCAGTTGATTTTAGCAATCCTACGCAGGCGGCCAAACACATTGAGGCCTTTGTTGAAGACAAAAGCACACCCAGAAGCAAGAGTTTGCTAGCAGACATTGATCCGGAAACCAGTTTGCTGCTTGCAACCTACACTCAGTTCAAAGGTAGGTTGGTGATGTGGGCAAGGGAGAAGAGAGAATCCCTACATTTTTCTACCAAAGGCAACTCTAAATGAAAGCAGATATTTTTTAAAAAGCAAGCATTAATTGAACACATGCATTAATATTATAACCACAGGGCTCATCTCTATGTACATCCAGTCATCTGTGTGTTCTTATGTGGGGGAGGCTTCAGTATGGAACAATGTGGATTTGCACAGTTTGTGCATTTGGTGGTGGTTGTGACCATCTCTGAGAAACAAAAGAAAAACACTGTGTGGTGTAATGCATCTGGAATGAATAATACTGTATCTTCAATGGGCCAGTAAAATGGCATTCCAAGATGAGGTTCATGTCCTAACCAGGTGCACATTGGAGAGTGTAGGGTGAGAAACAGCAAAGCCCCCAAATCATTCTGGTTAGGCAGGATTTGGAGGTAGAGTTCAGTTTGAGGATGAAGACAACAAACTTGGAAGAATTTGTTGGTGGTTTGATAATGTCAGGTTTCATCTCAGAGGATATAGAGTCAGTTGTTTTTCTCCATCTTGTATTAATCTCTGAATCTTTCTTTCCTGAGAAAATGGTAATATAGGATTAAATTGGGTACTGCTTTCTGTTAGTACAGTACTTGGCTTGGTGTGACAGAACAATGTAGACACTGGTGTAGCTCTTTTATCAACTTTCTTGCAGAAAGAACACAAAGAACATAACCTTCTGAGGGAAATGGGCAGCTTTTTCTTAAGGTTATAATTTTAGTCAAACTTTCTGCAGTTTTGTTTTGTTTTATTTTGTAAACCAGTGGTTCCTAACTTTGGAGTGATGGACACTGTTGTCCATTAGGATGTGTGCTAGCTAGTGTTTGTCGGAGCGCTAGTCCAAATGCAAACGTGGCAGTCGTTGGCTGAACTCCGCTAGAGTAGGGGCATTGAATCAGCATGGATTTGGTGAGTCAGGTTCCTAACTTTGGAGTGATGGACACTGTTCTCCATTAGGATGTGTGCTAGCTAGTGTTGGTCGGAGTGCTAGTCCAAATGCAAACGTGGCAGTCATTGGCTGAACTCCAGTACGTAGTACATTGCCGCTAGAGTAGGGCCATTGAATCAGCATGGATTTGTTGAGTCAATTCTTCTATATGTCCCATTGATTCAATAGATCTAGTCTAGTTGCAACTTACTACTGGATTTTGGCCACTGATATAGAGTCGGTTAATAGTATGGTTGTTTTGCTCCCATGGGGGGAAGAGGAGGTACACACCCAGCTTAAGTAGTGCTCTGAACAATTATGGAATTAATTAGCATTGTAATGTTACTTTTCAAATATTAGATAAATGTGCTGCTTTCCTCTCACTATTTGATAGAAATGTAAGTAATTTTTTAAAAACACTTTATTTCCAAGCTCCGGCTGAAGGTTGGTGGGAATGGTGTTGCCTGTGGGCCCCATTCAGCCTACTAAGCACCCCAACATGGCTCCAAGTGTTCCTGGATCCCCCAGTGCTGAGAGAAATTGGTGTAAAATGAGTAATTGTGCCTCCAAGAGCAATTGCTCATTTTAATACTACTCCCTTTAAAGGCCCCCAATTATCTGTCTTCTAAAATCAAATCAGATGTTCCAGAGGGACTCCCAGATCCTCCATGGCTGTCCACCCCTTCTTTTGAGGGGCAGGGCCCTAAACAGTTCAAGTTAAATTAAGGGCTGGAAAACCCTCACAGTTGCTGTATCCTCAGTTGAAAGAAACTAGGAAGTTTAGGGAAGAAGGTTTTCTTTTTACCTAGCTCCTAAAGGATGGTCACAAGCAACTGACAAACGATGGGGGGACACCAGGTGTTCTCTGCTTGCAGCTTTTTGAGCCCCTCAAGTATCCTTAAGTCAAAGTCAGCACAGTAACTGTAATGACTTAAATTAACTGAAGATTGTGTCCAACCTCTAGTAGGAGAGAAACAACAGGAAGAATTAATACGCCATTAACCTGAGACTGACCTTTTCAATGTATCATTTGCTCCAGCTGTTAGTAATGTTTCTTAGAACAACATCATAGGCATGAATTTATTTTCTTTTTCCCTAACAAAGTGCTGTGCCTAGTCTTTCCTTCCCATGTTTTACATGCCAATCATGGGGTTTTGCTGAGCTACACCAAGGTTGGAGTTTGCAGGGCATCCTTTCAGGTTTTTGCAGGCAAAGAGGAAAGATGGCACTGGTGCTGTTCACCCTCCTGTTGATGGAGTGAATTTAGACTCTCTTCAGGGCCTTGGTGGAGGACCTGGGAGAGCTATTGTTCCAGGGCCTCCCCTGCTCCATCCACACTTTATATCTGATTCTTCTCTCCAACCCCATCCCCTTTTTTTCCTTCTCCAAGAGTAGAGCTACAGGATCAGAGAGATAAAGAATATGGATGCTTTTAAGGGTACAGGGAAGAAGTTGGCATCTTATCTTTGATTTCTGATCTTTTATATAGATATTATTAGTAGTAAAATCAATCTGTGCTTATTAAACATTGTGATACATGGGTTCATTTGTTGCTACACTGCATTTCTAACCACTCTTAACAGATTCCACATTTGAAAATATTCTGAATCTTTTCTCTTTCACTTTCAATGTAAGTCTGTCCATTTCCACACAGTCCAAAATATTCTTCATTGTTTCTTCATCTGTAGGTAGTCCTTCGTTTTTCCAATGTTTGTTTGTTTGTTTAATGTTGTGCCAGTACAATCCTTGCTGCTGTCAAAATATGCAATGTTAAATATACATTTTGTTTATCAAAATTTTCTGGCATTATACTCAATAGAAACAGTTCTGGTTTAAAGTCTATGTGTTTTTTTAACATTTTAGCAAGCCATGTATGTACAGTATTTTAATCCAATTTTTTTTAACTTTATCACAAGTCCAACATACATGATAATAAGTACCTGCTTTTTTATTGCATTTCCAACATTTATTAGATATATTAGAAAACACTAATCTAGCAGGTGGTAGGTGCCATCTATAAAACATTTTATATAAGTTATCTTTATAAGATGTTGCCATTATCATTTTACAGTTTCTATTCAACAGCTTTTGCCATTTCTCTAATTCAGTGTTACCGGATAGCCAAAGTTGTTTGCCCATTCAACCATTGTTTCTTTCACTTGTTCATCTTCCATTTTTCAATCTAAAAGAAACGTATATATTTTCTTAATTAATTTGTCATCTGATGTCAACATTATTTGATCAAAGTGACTCTGATCTTAGAGGGGTGATTCCAACCTATAATATGATCCCTGGAATGCTATCCCAGCTGAAAAGACCCATAGACCATGTGGGGAGGGTACGTTGTCCCAAATCTCAGGGAAGACCTGTCCCAGTCTTGATCCATTAGCCACCTATGCAGTACAGAGACTCTAGCTCTGCAATGTTATTTCTGCTGGCATATCTTCATTTTAAACAGCTGCCTTTATGCTTTTATTCCGCTGGCCTTTGTTTCTTATGAGTTGTTGGTTTGAAATTGTCTTGCTGTTAGCTGCCTTGAGCTCTGCTAAAGAAAAGCATTTTATAAATTAAATAAATACCACAGTAAACTTACCAGGAAGCTGCCTAGCGTGCCTTTATGAAATGGATGCAGTGAACCCCTTTGCTTTTGTCACTTTCCCGTTGTGTTCTCAGCCATTGTAAAGGGAGCCTCCCTGTTGAAGAAGCCTCAGGAGTTTTGGCTCGATTCAGACACAGTGATCTCTGTACCAATGATGAGGGTCGTTGGAACCTTTGAGTACAAATGTGACAGCAACCCAAGCCTTTCTGTAGTGAAAATTCCTGTTGGCAAGAGCGTATTTCTGCTACTTTTGCTGCCTACCAACATCAGTGACCTGGCCACGGTTGAAAATCAGTACTCTTTGATGCCTTCAATAGAATGGATGCAAAAACTATCAGCAAGGTATGTTTATGGATCATTCAGATGTTCATAAGAGCATCGGAACAAGCTTTGAGGGACTGGTGGCAATCCAGATGAGATGTCTGGGGTCAAACTACAGTGGGGTCTCTACTTAAGAACTTAATCCGTATTGGAAGGTGGTTCTCAAGTTGAAAAGTTCTTATGTTGAATCTGCATTTCCCATAGGAATGCACTGAAAACCATTTAATCCGTATCTGCTCTTTTCCGTCCATAGAAACTACAGTGGAACCTCTACTTAAGAACTTAATCCATTTCCCATAGGAATGATGCAAAAACTATCAGCAAGGTATGTTTATACCTCATAAGAGCATCGGAACAAGTTTTGAAGGACTGGTGGCAATCCAGATGAGATGTCTGGGGTCAAACTACAGTTTCCTTTAGTGCTAAGAAAGCCTGGCTGTGATGGCAGGAGCTTTTCATACTTGTTGCTTTCAATTAACATGCTTTATTTTCTGGTTGGTCATTGGGAGGTAAAGTATTGCAGAGCTTCGAATTTCTGATTAAATTCCTTTAGGGATTCATAGTTCCCCAATTTAGTTAGCCACTTCTTTTTTTCTCATCAGCTGGCACTTCTTGTCTCAATCAATAACTCATTCTGAGACATTTGTAAGATGAAAGATTTCATTACTTAAAATTGAACAGATTGAAATGGAAACTGAACAAACATGGCTGGTTCACTTTCAGCAACCAGTTTCATCTCACTGAGACTACTTCCCACAGACTACTGAGAGAGAAGAAAGGCAGAGCAGGGAGGCAGAGCTCTCTTTGAATCAGAGGCAGGGATGGAAACTCATTCTGAGACATTTGTAAGATGAAAGATTTCATTACTTAAAATTGAACAGATTGAAATGGAAACTGAACAAACATGGCTGGTTCACTTTCAGCAACCAGTTTCATCTCACTGAGACTACTTCCCACAGACTACTGAGAGAGAAGAAAGGCAGAGCAGGGAGGCAGAGCTCTCTTTGAATCAGAGGCAGGGAAAGAAGTATTGGTTAGGGCTGTTAGTGATTGACAGTTACTGCAGCCCATAAAAGTCTCTTCCAGCCCCATCTACCAGAGGCAGCATGCGAGGCTGCAAAAATTCCAACAGTAAGCATAGACTTCATTTGCAAATATGACTGCTCAGTCATGCAAGTTTACAGGAATAATGTCTATGGAGCAGTAACTGATTACCGAAGCCTTTTACCTTTTAATGATACAATATCTGTAACACCATAGTTTGAGTCTCCTGTCTTATTTGGTTTAAGCACAGTTGCTAGATAGAGCAAGAGGTGGCATACCTCCAGCATCTCATTTCACGGTACCTCTGACTACCACTTATGTGAAAAGTAAGTGATGGTCAGTACCAATGATAAGACCAGTGAGATTGGCAAAAGATCTGCTCCTCCTAGTCTGCTAGGCTGGGTTTGCTGATATTGATCAAGACAGACAACTGCATTTTTAGCCTTGGTGTGTGGCCAAAGCAGTGTGCGTACTGAAGATAACACAAATGTCAAAATATAGTATTCCACCATTGGACAATAATACAGATTTAGAAAAGCTGACTCGGAAGGATCCCAGAAAACAGAAGGTTTTCATAGCTAACAGCAAAGTGTACTTACCCTGTCTTTTCATCCTTAATAAAAAGAGGTATGGAAAGATGGAAGAAAAGGTGAGAAAATATGGAGGCGTGACAAACTGAAGATACATGTAAAATCCCATGAACAAGGCAGGACAAATGCCTCACCTGAAAGCAAACTTGAAATATTTCATTTTTGCAACTTCTATTTTTTTTCCTTCACAATATTCCCCATTCTGCTTCTAACCTGTTAGCTTAAGACTAAATGGCTGGAATCCCATTCATGCAGCTACACTGTGTAAGGCTGGTGACACTATCTGCTGCTGTGATTTTTTTTAATTAGTGGCAAAGATTTTTGGAAATTAAAGATTCACTTCCCATCCCTGGACTCCAGTGGCTTCTCTACAACGAAAGGGGTTCAGTCGGAGCCTTGGTAACTTCAGGAAGTCATGAATTGAAATGTTTTATTTCTGAAAAATTGCCATAATTGTATCAAATGGCATTGTTTCATTAACTGGATTTCAGCCAATTAATTTTTTCAAACATGAACCTTAAAGAATTTAAGGCTCAACAGAAATGCATTTATCCAATTAAGACTTTTTTAAAAACTCAAAATGGAACCAAAAGTGGGAGAATTATTTGATCACGAGGTAAGAAAGTGGTTAATATTTTTAGTGAAGGCCGGTTCTATGCTGAACTTTTTAACATTTGTGCAAGGCATGATTCTCAGGGTGAAAGTAGATGATATGCTTAGCATGTATTTTGAACAAGTGCTTCCTCAAGTCGTGAAAGATGTTTATTTGTCATAACATGTAATTTTCCTCAGCCCTCTTTCTTGCATTTAGTGACACCGGAATGTAAACATACATTTAATTTTTGAGTTTGATTGCCAAAGCATGTGTCTCTCAGGAAATCCCTTGCTGGAGGGGAGAGAGACTAAATTGGAAGGATTACTTACAACCCTGAACAGGATAAGTGATCATTTCATATGAGATATGAGGCATGGGCAGTGCCACCATTCTTTCATCATGTTAAGGGGTCTTACAAATGATAAATTATTTTAGGGGACCCCATTGAGGGTGTATTGACTAAAAAGTCACAGGAAAGCTAAGTTGCTTTCAGATGAACGGCTGTTAGCACCATCATTAAAAAGACGCAATTCAGCCATTTTAACTTTGACTCCATAGCATATTCCCTATGGCAAGAAAAAAAAAGACAGAAGTTATGTCTAGGTCCCTCACAAAAATTCTGTGAAAAATTCAGGACAATGAAACAATAAAAACTTTATCTGGGAGCCCTCCTAGAATCAACGTTACTTTCTGGAATTTGTGTGCAAATGGCTGTTTTTGCATTAATTTATTTTTTCCTTCCTTCTCTTTATACCTTCTTGCTTCTCCTACAGACAAATCCAGCTGACTTTACCAAAAGTGTATTTGAAAACCATTTATAATCTTCAGGAGCTCCTTGCAAAACAGAACATGGCAGATGTGCTTGGAAAGAAGGCCAATCTCAGACTGCTTAGTGACATGGACCTGAATATTGGAAAGGTACCGTTTTGCAAATTATTTTCATATTTTGGAATTTTATATATGATGCTGTGCACCCAGACACACTCTTCATGGAACCTGTGGAATGAAGATATCAAGTTAAATGTTTCAGAGAGCAACACTTGAGGGCTAGTTAAGGTGGGGAACAAAGTGGCATGAAGGGGAATTAGAGGATGGGGGCTCCCAGAGTCATAGCATGAAGAGAGAAAACAAGACAATACAAATACATACAAGTGGTGATTTAAAAAAAGAAAGAAAAAAGCAATCTCAGAGGCTGCAATATGACATGGAATAGGGGTCCCATTCCTTGTCAACCACTCAGGCAAAAATCCCTCTGTTTTCCTGCCCCCCCACAATGATTTCAAGCATGTATTTATCCTTTTAAATAAGCATTTTGACTTCTGCTTAGCAGAACACAACTCAGCCATGAAGGCTTTCCAATGAAAAAGTGCATGCTTGGAATACAAAACACCATTTCCATCCAAAACTGCAACCTCTCTCCAAGTCTTTCACTTTCAGAACTGTCAAGGCATCACTGCTCCCATTGCTCCCTAAGTTTTGACTATTCATCAAGCATCCTGCTCACTAAACACTCAAGGCAGGTATACGTACTCATTGATCTGATCTGCGTGTCTGTAGTCTAGTCGCATTGACCCAGCAGGTCGTTGTATAACGATGGTATGAATTCCACTGCTACTTTATAAACATAAACCAGTTGTGTCTTCCTGATCTCAGAATCTTTTCGACTTGTACTGTTCATTATGTATATTTTTTCATAATGAAAATACTTGGAATTCATGTTCATCATCTCTAGATCATACTTGGCTGCCTCAGACTGATTCACCATGTTAATTTCTGCTTGCAGATCATAAATCAGCAACTTTTTGAACTCAGTCCCAGTGGCACAGATCAAATTGAAGATCCTCCAGAAGAAAACGAAACACTCAAAGTAACACTGGATCACCCATTCCTATTAGCAATGTATGAAAAGGAGTCCTATGCATTGCTTTATTTTGGGACAGTAAGAAATCCCTTGAAAATAATCTAAGCATTCCCAAAGGAAAAGGAGGTGTCTCATATCTCCTTTAATTTTAGTTTTCCTGAACTATGTTATGGTCTCACTGAGTTGCCATTTGATGTTTTCAGTTTGCCTTTCCAGTTTTTCTTTATAGCATTTGTCTTGAAATATAAAATTGATTTTAAAAAATCAATAACACTTCCTGAAAATTTATTTTAAAGAAAAACACATTTCAGCGTGGTTGTTGTGGGGAACAGAACTCCTGTTTACACTGACATGATTAATCACAGAAATGACTTCATGATTTGTTTGGCCTGCAAAGTATGAAGTAAGGTATTTGACAGATGTAGATTATCTTTTACCAAGAGGCAACTCTTGGGTTTGTATGTTAATTGCTTGGCAGTGTGTGGTATGTCCAACGCTGGTGTTGTCTTACAAAGTGATCAAGACACTTCACTGCACTGTTGCACCTGATCTAGAAATCTAGGGAAGCACTGAGATGGTCCTCGTTACTGACAAGAGCATGGAATGGGCCACTTCTCCAAGTACAGTGGTGCCTCTCTTGACAACGTTAATTCCTTCCAGCGAAATCGCTGTCAAACGAAATAAAAAACCCATTGAAACACATTAAAACCCAGTTAATGAGTTCCAATGGGCGAAATACCTAATCGTCCAGCGAAGATCCTCCATAGGATGGCCATTTTCCGGTGCCTATAGAGCGAAAAATCAGTCCTAAAAGCAGGGGGCCACTTTGCACAGTGGTGGCCATTTTGAAACCCGACGATCAGCTGTTGGAAAATCGTCGTAAAGTGAAAAAAAACCATTCAAACATCATTTTGCGATCGCAAAAACATTGTCGTGAAGTGGATTCATCATTATACGGGGTAATCGTTAAGCGGGACACCACTGTAGCTATATGCACATTCAGCAGTTCCAACCTGAGACATTCTGTTGCCTGAGGTAAAGACCGGGACTGTGCCCTCACCTTTCACCCAAATAAGATGATTTTAACGTGCAGACAGACAAAGCGGCATCCTCCAGTAGAAAAAAAGCAGCTGAAATCCAATAAATTACAATACTGAAAAAAGAATTGAGCAGATTGAAACTACTAAATAAAAGCCATTTATTTAAAGACTGCCAATCTATATCCAGACAGAATTCAAAGTGATGGTTCTAACCTGTAAAGCCCTAAACAGCTTGGGTCCTAGTTAGCTCAAGCACCACATCTCCCTTTATGAACCTGCTTGAGTGTTAAGATAATCAGGAGAGGCCTTCCTTTCAGTCCTACCACCTTCACAGGGAAAGGGAGAGGGCCTTCTCTGTTGTTGTTCACAGACTTTAGAACTCACTCCCACAGGAGGATAAACTGCCCCTCTCTTTACTGTCCTTCCACAAGCAGGTGAGGACTTTCTCTTCAGTCAAGCTTTCCCTAGGTGAATGGCTGGTACAAACTGATCATTGTACCTTACTGCATGAACGTCTTTTGGTGTCTTAATTCAGGGATTTCCCTGAAATTAAGCTTTCCCCAGTTAATATCCCTTCCTTACCAGCTTTCCTTCTTCCTTTGTAGCAACTTACCGAGAAAGAAAGGCATTGGTCTGCTGGTAGAAGGACAGCAAGGTAGCGTCCACCCTGGGAGCAACTACTAGTAATCTATCAATATCCAGATTAGATATTTCAAGGAAAAGACACAGCTAACACACTAGTTTTAACTCTGCAAATGATCCTGTTTCCTGGTGCTGAGTCCCTAAGCAAGTCACTGAAGCAAGCCTACAGTGGTAATGCTTCAAGTATCAAAACAATATACAGTACTGTACAATCTTGGGCACGTAACCAGACAAGTCTTACCACACCAGCATAAACAAGGAGCGTCTGAGGCAGAGTCAAGAGTCCAAGATCAGCAGCTAGCAGAGGCAACAAGAATCTGAAACAGGAGGCATAAGAATAAACCGTTCAGATCCTTCAGGGCATGGTAACTAGCAATCCAGCAGCAATGTTTGGAAGGCACAAGGTCAAATTGTATTGTATTGACATTCAAATTGTATCGAGCAGTTTGCTCTCCGCACTGAGATTTTGAGGGGCAGAGGCTGCTGTTACTGGGAGGTTAATATGTGAATTATGTGCCCCCCCTCCGGTCACCTTATCTCAGGGACTCCTCCTATTTCTGAGGAAACCCCAGCTCATGAGGAAATCTCCCCTTGACACTATACGCTCCTGCTCCGTGTCTGTAGTCAGGCCCTTCCTTTTTCTTGTCATCATTCCTGTAGACTTGGAAGGAGTCTGTCTCCCTTGTCTCAGTCTGCAGAGAAACTGCTTTTACCTCAGGGTGCTGTCCTTAGCAGAAGCAGCCAGTCTCCTTTATTCTAAGGTTTATGGAACCTGGACTCCTTCTCACTGAAGGATGCATCTGATGGGGCATCCAGGCTCGGGGATGAATCCAGCAGCATGCCCACGCTTTGTCCAGTAGCTAAACCTAAAGCCAGATCCTTATAGATCTTTTTTTTCTTTACAAAAATAACATTTTATTAGTTTTTCACTATACTGTATCTACAATTCATGTTTGTTAAACAGCATGTTACATGGGTTTGCTTATAATTATTTTTGTATCTTGGTGATTTAATCCCTTCTCCGATCTTTTAGCCATTTATAAAACAAATTCCACGTATTAAAGTATTCTCAATCTTCTTTTTCTCTCAGTCTCAATGTGAGTCTATCAATTTCTGCACAATCTAAAATCTTATTATCTCTTCTTGTTTGTATTTCTTCGTTTTTCCAATGTTGTGCAAATACAATCCTAGCTGCTGTCACAATATGCAGTGTTAGGCAAACCGATTGTTTATCAAAATCTCTGGTAAAACACCTAATAAAAACAGTTCTGGTTTAAAATCTATACATTTTAAAAGAATTTTAACCAAACATGTGTGTATTTTAATCTTCTTCTTTTTCTTCTTCTTCTTTTCTTTTTCACATGCCTTCTTCTTCTTCTTTTTCACATGTCCACTATACATGATATTGGGTGCCTACTTTTTGTTCGCTTTTCCAATATTTACTTGACATATTTGGAAGTATTTTTGCAATTCTGGCGGGTGGCAAGTGCCATCTATAAAAACCTTGATAAAGGCATGCATCTTTCTCACAGTGTGGCTTTCCCCTTTCCCAGGATATTGTTCACATTCTCAAGATGCACACACTGAAATTAATCCATTAGCTCAGGAAGCAAGGACCAAATTGACATCCTCAGAACCTGCTTCAACCACAGGGTCAAGTCAGAGCAAATCTGAGGAATTTTGTCTACAAAGCATTGAGCAAATTTTCAGAGTGGGTCAACAAATAGCCAGTATTGTTTCCTTGCAGGCCAGAATATAACAGGTCCTTGACTATTTGAGATAATCTTGGTGCTGTGTTCAAATGCAATAGTGGTAGGGAAAAAAAGGATTTTGCTGCCATCATTCCATTAGTGCCAGACAGGCCTTCCAATTGGTTCTGAGCTTGTGTTCAACTAGACCTGTTTTATGTTTTCTGCCATTATCATTGAAGTGTCTGTCTCATTAATTTCATTGCTGCTGTCTCCCTAATAAACTGGGGGGCAGTTTGACTTTGCGCCATGGGAGAGGACAGAGAGGAGCACCATATTCACAATCAATTCATTTCCCCGTTTCAGAAGTCGATCCTCACTATCAGTTCCTATAATCGCTTAACTAATCTCTCAATTCAGTAAAACAGGGCAAGGGTAAATGGAAGATATTGTCAAATACAAATTTATTATAACCATCAGACATCCACAGATGGTAACATAATGCAAAATAATCATTTAAAAATCCATTTTAAAACAATGTTTTTTTCTATTTTCTTATACATCATTTTTAGAATCCATGAATAGGAAAACCAGAAATGTTATAAAATTATTTTTATCATCAGGGAATTTTTCATTAAAAGAATCTAGATTTGTAAACTTTCTCTTCCTTGATTTATTCCAAGGCTGAGTTTCTTACATATACAGTAATTGCTTTCTAATACACGTGCTGTCTTGGATAAAGTGATATTGTTGAAGTATGTCAGAGCTAACAGTTAATCTTTATACAAAAAATTTTGATTTCTGCTATTTTAAGAATTGTAAAGCCATATTCTTTGAGTGGGGGGGAAGCACTCAATTAAACTAGGTTAGGCAAAAAAATTGTTGTTCTTATAAGCCATTATGTTCTCAGAATTCGGGATGGACCTCACCCATAGACAGGGCTGGAAGCCATGTGTAAACAGGGCTAGAGCAAGGCCTGGCACAGCCTATTGTTTGTCTCTTTGCTTCTCATCCTCTTTGTTTCTCATGCTTCTCCTTCTAACAGGCTGAAAGAATGAGGATGGATTGCTTTTAGCAGAGGGGTTTTCAAAATCGGCCAAGGCCATATCTGGACATGGTTGTTCACCCTCCCCCAACATCATAATTAAAATACAGCTTTAGACCAATTCTTTCAAATATGAGTATTATTGAGAAAATGGGAGCCTGCAGAATAAATGATTCCTCTTTTCTTTGCAGCACTACGCCTTCCCCCTGTACATAATTTCCTGTCCACTTATCAGATTCAGTCCCCTATTACAAGTGCTATTGAATTTCATCATTTAATAAGCTGGGTTCTTCGTTCTTTGAATTATTTTTTCACAGATCCCTTGGATTCACACAGTAATGATATTAGATGTATATTATAATGCAATATTAAATTGCATGGCAGTTTGTCACCTGAAGTATCCATGCAGTTAGCACTCAAAAGAATTCTCATTATCAAACCGTATTCAATTAAATCATTAAGAGCAGAATTTAGCATCTAGGGTAAAAAAATTAGAACAATATAATAGTTCAGGATTAAGTCTACCTAAAATAAAATGTTTTTATACCCCCTACAGTTTCAGCAATAAACAGATCTCCCACCAGCCTCAGAATATTACTGTATTCATTTTTTGAATACAGATAATAATATAAACTTTTTGTATAAACAGTTTTCTATTCTACTCCATTCCAAAAATTTTGATGTCACTATAACTCTTTGCTTAGCATTTTAACATACACACATATACATATACAAACTACATTAAGCTTTCAAAGCAACTTACAAGCTTTTCAGGTTGTGCAAAATCACAATACAGATCCACAAATATTTGGTTTAGCTTCACATGTTCTCAGCAGACTATGTACTGCATAAATTGCAACGGGAATTTTCTAGTGAGTTTTGCATCCCAAAACTTGGGCATGTACAGCTGATAGGGAGTTATAAGAGTTCAAATACCTGTCATAAGCTTCATTGATTCAAATGTGCAGTTTGACTACAGGATCTAGCATATCTGTACATTATTCAGAATTCTGAAAATTTACTTTTGGTGTGGGGAAATGTTTCTAGTTCCCTGTATCAAATGACATCACTGCACCAGAAATAAGCATTAACATGATTTGCTGAAGTGTGTAATCTAATAATGTTTCGCATGTGCGAAGAGTTGTGCAACATAGATACTACTGCTTGTATACCAATGTAATTCAGCACAATTATGATAGTGCCAATATTCACTTCTTTTGTGTGATACTGAATTTAAGCCATATTTAAAGAACAGAATGCAAGACCACAAATATAACTTCCCTATTTTAAAGTATCTTGAAGATCACTTTGTTGAAATGTTAAATTTTGTGTGTATTGTGTTAAAATAATTGAGTATAGAAAAATAGCCCTGAAAATGAAAGTGCTTTTAAAATTGAGCCTTGAACATTATTTTATTATAGTCACAACAAAACAATTAATCATCTGTATAGCTGAGCAAGGCCACTGTACCATAACGATCCTGAGAATTGAACTGTTTATGTTGCAGTGTGTAAATAGGGGAGTTTGCAGGTGCTAAAGCTACAATATTCTCATATTCCAGGACCTTGGTGAGGCAGGCCTCTGTTTCTTCAAGCTTTGCAAAATTTTTGTCAAAACAATGTTATCATCACAGTGGCAGCTTGCCAGATTAAAAGTTACAGAACCTTGGTGTTATAGTAGGTGCTGAAATTTTTTTCCTTCCAGGCCCCTGGAGAAAAAATTGTTTATAATTTAAAAGGAAAACAAAACAACCAAAAGAATTAAAAGTATAGAGAGATAAGACACACTCACACGAATTCAACTCATCAACACAATGCACCACATACACCAGATATCAGCAACAACCATGTAGCAACACAGCAGCAGGCTTCATTTCCAGAAGCTAACAATGATCAACATAGATTTTCTTCCACAGAGTCATACTGGTTTGCCCGGGCGAACACTTAGAATAATTTTGTATAAGGCTAAGGAAGTCATTTTCTTTAATATGTTTTTTGTCTTCAGAACACTGGTATTTTAGAGTTGTATTCTCTTTTAGGTTTTTTTTAACATGCCTTTTAAGACTATAAGCTCTTACATTTTAGAACCTAATTGAAACATTCTCATTGTTTTTTCTCTCTCAAAATATACTTTATATTTTAGATTAAATTCTGACCTAAGTATTTGCCAGCAACTTAGGTTTAGTTTCCATACATTTTGAAGCATTTGTGCCTACATTTTCCTCATAACTCTGAGGCTGTTTTCAATACATTTTGACTTTATTTATTTATTGGACTTATATACCGCCCCATAGCGCTACAAGCACTCTCCGGGCGGTTTACAATTTTTAATTATACAGGCTACACATTGCCCCCCCCCAGCAAGCTGGGTACTCATTTTACCAACCTCAGAAGGATGGAAGGCTGAGTCAACCTTGAGCCGGCTACCTGGGATTTGAACCCCAGGTCGTGAGCAGTTTTAGCTGCAGTACAGCGTTTTAACCACTGCGCCACAAGGCTCTTTTTGTGACTTGTGACTTTGAAGTGTTTTTGTGTTTATGGAACACAGAAACAATGTAGATAAATAAAGCTTGTAAAATTAGACAAGCTGATGTTGCCTGGAATTGTTGCAAAAAAGAAAAAGACATACACCTTGATACTCAGATGAATATTGATATGGCTGGAAATTACTGCCTGGTTTCATTCTGGCAGTAACCTTTTTGGGGGGATAAACGGCAGCTGTGGCGAACACAGGCTCCCAATTTTTCCCTGTCTATAAATTTATAAATATGTCTATAAATTTCTGGAGGACTCTTGGAAGGATGTTTAGGTCTCAGAATTTCCCTTTTCCCTATGGCTCGTGTGTGGATTTTATTTTTTAAAGGCCTTTCTGCTTGCATTAGGCAGACCTTTTTGCTTGAAAAAAGTAATCCTTTAAAGCAAAAGTTCAAGAGAATATGGTTGTTGTAGGTTTTTCGGGTTGTTTGGCTGCGTTCTGGACATGGTCAAACAACCCGAAAAACCTACAGCAACCATCAGATCCCAGCCATGAAAGCCTTCAAGAATACATTCAAGAGAATATTTTTTTCTTTTCTCCTCTATGAAGCTCCAACAGGAAAATATATGGTTAAGATGTCAGTAAATTACTGTGTTTACATTCTCTTCAGAATCAGTAATAAAAGTCACATAACATACATAAACTATACAGCTTCCACCCATGATTAAAAACATCACAGAAGAAGACAATGCTTTTCTAATTTACTTTAATCATATTGTTCCTTCATGATAAAGACTTACAATAAAAATAAAAAAGACTTCCATATATCTGTGTAGAATGCTTAGAAATATATAAACCGTCTTCCATATAATGGAAAACTAGAATAAATGCTCTCTCTCTCTTTTGGTGAAACACGTTTTTGTGCATCTTGAGACATGCTGAACTTGCTGCTGAAGCTGAATCAGGAAGCACTTCCTTGCTACACAATATTTGGGGAGAGAAAGTAAAAATGAACCCTCTCCTTTTTTAGATGCCAGGCTTGCTCTCCTCAAATAGCTGGAAATCATGTTGTTTGTTCTGCTGATATCTGATCCCTGGCTGCTTGAACAAGCTCCGAAAGAGCTGAAAAGCTTTTGATGTTGCTCAACACCAATCCCATTTTCTGTATCTGAAACAAAACAAGGATGTTCTTTTGTAGTTTTGTAGACAAATGCAGAAATCCCATAATCATTATGCAATCAGAAAATCAAAAAGACAAGCTCATGGATTTCTGTCCTACACGGACAATCACTTTTACTGAGTAAGTATTTTACAGGCTATTTTGAGGCATCCAGAATAGGCTACATGTGATTATAAAATAGATTAACCACTCATTTTTACTTGAGGATTTATGCTGATAAGCATGAAGTGAAATGTTGTGTAACCGATGATGTTGCCTGAGGAAGAATGCAACTTGAATACCTGTAATGGACAGAAGCTTTGCAAATAACAATTTATTCTATTGTTGTGGTGATTTTAGAAGCACTTAGGGTCCTGAATGTAACTACAAATTACATATTCTTCAAAAAATATAAAGTACTTTTTATTTTATTAGTAAATTTGATTGTATCTAGAGATGGAATACAACTGAAATGTGCTACAAATATTATAAGAATAAAGTAGTTCATAAACTGCTAATGCAAACATTAAATTATAATTATGGAGGAATCCTATCAGATATCTGCTGCTTTCTCAAGGAAAATAGTTTTTTGGGGAAAGAATGTATCCGCTGAGATAAAGCAATTCTGAGTCACATGCCAATATTATTGGCCTTTCATTTATTTCAGGCTCAGCAATCCCCTTCACATATCTTAATTTACTCAAAAAATATTTTTTTTGTTTATATCTAAGTTACCTGAAGTCCAAAATACTCCACATCTAGGGCCAGCTGCAGGCGGATTTTGTTATCATCACTCATGCCTCCATTTGAAGAGAGGCTGTTTGCAATCACAGTTTTCCTGGCCTGTTTCAGTCTTTTCAAACTTTCCTCCATCTTCTTTACTGAACTCAGTATATCTGATATTGTCTCAAAATACCTGAATAGAGAGATTGATGAATTGGTTACTTTAGTAGCCTCTTCTGAACAGAATTATTTACAGCAGAGATCCTTCCCATATTGAATGCTGAAAGCAGAGATGAAACAATTAATCATGCCTTTTATCCAGCCGTAAGACCAATATGAATGCACCTCTCAATGTTTTTGAGCAACCTCCTTTGCAGACCAGTACCAGTGCTGAGTCCTCACTACCAATCACCATTTCAAAGATTTGGAAGAAACATGAATGAAAGCAAAATAGCCAATAAAACCAAATGGAAACAACATACAGTATCAAGGATGCAATAAATGACTTTTATTTTTACATCCTTTAGACTCTTTCTGGGTCCCTTCATAAAAATGCTCCCCTTTATGTTCTTGTCCAGTGGTCCCCAACCTTTCTGACACCGTGGACCGGTTGGGGGGGATGGGACACCCCTCGTGCTCACACACGTGTGAAGGGGCAAGGGTGCTCACACGCATGTGTGAAGGGTGTTTGCGGGGGATGCACATTCGCGCGCATGCACAAAGGGGCTATGTGGGTCGGCATGCAGGGTGAGTGCATGTGGGGCACACGCATGTGTGAAGGGTGTTTGCGGGGCATGCATTCGTGCGCATGCACAAAGGGGCTATGTGGGTTGGTGTGCAGGGTAAGTGCATGTGTGTGTGGGTGGGTGGGAGATCTGTCTCCGCAGCCCGGTCCTGCCAAGGACACGAACTGGCACTGTGCCGTGTACCAGGGGTTGGGGACCCCTGTTCCTGACACCCCGATACTCATTTGCATTGTCTACTGATGAAAACAAGTACTGCTAATGCATTTTTGGTTGTGTTCTAATCACAACCTTATTTTTTTTCAAAACTAATGAGGCTGAATGTGTCACTGATCATTAGTACTGGACATCTGAATATACTTACTTCTCTACATGACTGAGGTGTCATTCACTGGCATATCTCACTTTTGTTAATGGCCGCAATTAAACTAGAGCAGCAAGGAAGGTGCTAAGCATTTAGTAAAATTAATGGCATATATAGTGTATTTTTAAAATCAGAAAACATTTTAAAATTAAATTTATATTCTTGTATTAGCAACCACTTCAGTAATAAAACAAGAAATGGTCACCTATACATGCATACATAACTGCTCTTTAGAAGTGGGACAGAATTATGACCCTTATAGCTTCTGGGCTTCTGCAAAACTCCTGCTTTCTTGTCTTTCGAACAGAATGAGAAGATCGGGTTTTGGGTTTGTTTCTTGTTTTTTTTTTTAACATAGCACACCAGAAATAATAAATAAAGCATTTCTATTTTGCTCCAAAATTAGGGTATCTTCAGAATAAGTTCACATTAAGCACTGGAAAAGAGTGAAATAACTAGTCAATTAAGGGCATAGGAGCCAAACTTAGACTTTTGCTCAATTTAGCTCAGTGCTGTCTACAAATTAGTGATGGTCTCTCCTCCGTATTTCAAACAGAAATCTCCAAGCTGCACCTGGAGATTCCAGGGACGGAAACGGGACCTTTGGTATGCAAAGCATATTGGGCTTTGAAAATCAAAAACCAAATTTCTCTACAGTATCAGATGATAAAGGACAAAACACAGCTAAGATGTCATCTATCGTTTAATAATAAACTGAATATGTCACCACGTTCAGATTTAGGTAACATTTTGTTGGGTTTCTAATGCAGAGATAACCTTGTTGCATTAAATTTTCACTTACTTACTTCTGTGTGCTTGTGTTAGCAGCTCCTTCAAGCCAGTGCTCAATTATAGCTGGCTTTAATATCTCTTTATATTCCTCCTTCAGCTGGAAGAATGGCTTAAGGGCACTATCGACATAAGGCAGTGCCTTGGTTGGCACCTCCTGGATAATGACATACAGGAGACAGAGAAGAGAAGAAAGAAGACTGTCAAAAGCTTCTTAGTTAACTATGTACAATAAACAACCTTCGGCACTTGAACACAGAAACAGAGTATTCACATTTAGAAATGTAATAATTTATCTGCACTCTTGCAGCAAACTCTTAGAAGAGGAACATATAAATGTCGGAAACTTGCAGCAATCTAAATGGCTAGAGAAACGTGCCACAGTATCCTATAAGAATATGACTGCACACACACCCCAGACAAAACAAATATATATGTAATATAAAAGAACTGCTAGGGCTACAGTCTTCTAACTATAAGTTTTGCTTCCTATAATGTAACTGAGAGGAACTGAACCCCTGAAAGCACTGCTGCTGTGAGACACTGTAATAAATCAAGAAGATGTGTTCCTGTCTTTCTGCAATTGACTTCCTCTATTAGCCCATAGGCAGAGAATATCTACCACGCTTGTAAAAAGTAAAGAAAAAGAGAAAATGTTTGATGGCTGCAGGAACTAACCATCTTCGCCTATCTGATAAACAGGTAACACAATTAATAGAGGTGACGGCTTTCATGCACCACCAGGCCATGCTGTTTTAAAAAAGTCAGCTGGAAAGAATGGAGCACAGAGAGATAGAAGAGAATGGCAGTTTTTCTGTCTCCACATCTTCCCATCGTGCTCTTGAAGGCAACAAGGCCAGAAGGCAAAATATTTTGGGAACTGTCAACACCTGCGCAGGCAAGCTTACCTTCCTTCCCCCACCTCCCCTCAGCAGCTTTCACAAGAAATGAAAACTTACTAATCTGTGCCAATAGAGGATGACTCCCTGAAAAGATGGGTAGCAGATGAAGTGTTTTAAGTATGATGCACAGTTATGACACAGACAAGAGAACGCAAACAAAGGCTGGTTGAGACATGGAAAGGTGGAAACCTGCTAATTAGAGAATGGCTGCGGAATAGGATATAATTTTAATAAATAAACAAATAAATGGGGGGGGGAGAAAGCTGTATTAAAATTATATTATACTGTTCTGTGCTACACAAAGATGAAAAGGAGACAGCAGGTGAAGCTCCTCCATCAGCTGCCAGTTATTAAGAAATACAGACTATACCGTCCATTTATATATATTTAAAATATGAAATACACTACCTTATTGGTTCTTCTATACAACCTTGGGATCTCAAGGGCACTTTTCAGGCAACTGAAGCAAGAATCAATTAAATCCTGAATAATCTTATTGTGTAAGGCTGGCCAGCAACCTAGTAATGAATCCTTTGAATCTTCTACTGCTCCTATTAAAGGGAAAAAATCATAGAATCCACACCAGTCCAGCACTTATATCTATTTTCCAATTCCCTTGGTTCTTCAACAGAATGTACAGGCAGAGAGAACCAAACCAGACAAATTCTATGTGTTAGGCTGTGTTTACAAGTATGTAGTGTGTCTGATCTCAGGAGTACAGGTGGTTTCATGACTCTTTTCGCCTTTCTGTCTCTCATGCAATCTCTCACATTTCATTTTTAGGAATTAATGATCCAAGTATAATTCTCATGTGTTTATGCTTGTTCTGGCATTTTGCCACCCACTACTATCTCTAAACCATAGTGTCCAAACATGACCAGGAATAGATTTGTAAATCTGTGGCAGTAACAACTATCTATGCAGATATATTGTTATGTAATAGTTCACTTGTGAAAATAAAGTGGGAGGAGGGGTATTCTTCTGCAAGGGTGAAGTAGGAAGTGGAAGGATGGAAGAGAGAGAGAGAGAGACGAGAAAGCAACTATAAAAGCATTCCCAAAGTCTTAATTATAGTTGACTAAAAAGGGCAAGAGGTTGTATGTGTAATATTCATTGCCATTCAGAAAGGACAGAAGAGAACCACAGGTTTTACCTTTAAATCCACCTTGTCAAATTCTGGTGGATTATTTAATAGTTTTATTCTATCAGGTTTTTTACATCTGTTCATTGTGGTCACCTGCAGTTTAACACATTCTAAACATAGAACAAAAATATATCCACCCAACTGAATTCACTTTTACCTGAGATGCAGTCTAAATTCTTGAAGCCAACTGTTTCAAGTTTTGGTTTGATAATCTCCAGTAGTTCTGGAAGCTTAACAAAAACATGCACATTATGGGTACAGTGGAATATATTTTCTCAAGATCTGAAAGCTGCCTACATATTGAGGCTTTTTGCCTCCCTGCAGAACTACTGTATAATTTCATTATCCTTCACCCCTGACCCAATAGGGAAAGAAATTTGCATCCAGGGGTGTATATCATCATAGCCCTTCAAACAAAATATTTAGAATACACGAACGATTTATATTCAAAATAGTGGATTTGCTCCTTGAAGCATTTAATTAATTATTTTATTTATTTATTTATTTACAAATTCTATATGCTGCCTTTTTCCTAAAGGATCCAAGGCAGCTTATAGTATAAAAAGAAACAAAATTAAAAGCTAAAAAAATTAATTATTACAATATTTAAAAAAAAATTAAACAGTCACCATATTAAAATTCATAATAAGAGCAATATTAAGAGCTCAGTGAAAAAACAGAATTAAATACTCCATTTAAACAATCCCCTTGGTCAACCATCATTTAAAGGAAAGCCTGCTTTAAGAGAAAGTTCTTCTTCTTTAACAGAACTGATAAAGCAGTTGTACTCAAAGCAGATTGTACTGTGCACCAATGAGATGGGAAGGTTTGTGTTTCAAAATGGAACGTTAAAGGGGTCATGCCTTTCTGAGGTTGAAAAGGCTGGTGCCTTGTTTGGTAGCCAATGTTCCACCCATCCATGTTCTCTGATAGCATTGCCTCTGAACTGAGCCCTATGTTAAAATTTCAGACGTTTCTGAACAAAGCTAGAGGAGCAGACTGGGCTCAAGCTACTCTAGTCCCAATTCTATACTTGGCATGCAAATCCATGAAATAAACTAACCCATTCCTGAAAGTGATCCAGATCTGCAGCAACAAACACCAGCTGAGTGGTGGATATGGAAGGCAGAGACGAAGCATCCAGGCAAAATTCATTTCCTTGATCCTCAGCGGAGCTTGGGTTCAGCGAGGATTCCTTGCTACTGCTTCCTAATGTCCTCTTGGGATCTTTTGTGCTTTCATTAGAGATGGGCCTGAGTAAAACCTGTCCCATCAAAACAAAGAAAAACAAAGTAGTGAGTGACAAAGAAGTGAATTACAGACACATACTGTATATCAAGAGACGTCTCACAGACAAACAAGACAGAGGCCTGATTACATAAAGTTACAGTTAAGCATAATTCTTCATGCCATTCAAGGTTATTTCTTAAAGATAAATCCCCAAATATAAGACTAGAGACAAGAAGAGCTACAGAAGAGTGAATGAAAATTTCACCGTCCCTCACCTCATTAACAAAAAATGAATAGCGCGCTATAATTTGCAGAGACAGTTTCCACAGGCGATGTGCTAGCAATGGTAGAAATATATGAGCTGACCAACATTTCTCCAAACTTGCCCATGCCATATGTGTAGCTAAGAGACGATATGAACTTCCAGCTGAAAAACAAGGAAAAGGGATAGGTGAATTACTCATCACAATCCAGCAGTAACAAGTCATTTTAAAAATTATCCAACCTCCCAAGCCATCTCCTATCATCGGCACATTCCACTGAAGCATCAACAAAGATGTTGCTCAGGACTGATGCCTGGTAGATTGCACTCATCATGCAGTATTGCAGGGCTGGATTCCAAAAGATCTCCTGTATGGAGAATTAGTGCTCGGAAAGCGCCCCAAAGGGAGACCAGAGTTGCAATGCAAGGATATCTGCAAGTAGGATCTGAAGGCCTTAGGAATGGACCTCAACAGATGAAAAACCTCAACATCTGAGCGTTCAGCCTGGAGGCAGGCGGTGCATCACGGCCTCTCCCAATTTGAAGAGAAACTTGTCCAGCAGGCCGAGGCAAAGAGCCAGTCCCGAAACCATCAAAACCAGGGAGCTGGACAGGGGATAGACTGTATTTGTCTTCAGTGTGGAAGGGATTGTCACTCTCCAAATTGGCCTTCTCAGCCACACTTGATGCTGTTCCAAGATCTCTGTTCAGAGCACACTGCCATATTCTCTCGAGACTGAAGGATGCCTACTGCACCATTGCATCTTGTGGAAGGACAGGAGCAGTTTCTCCTTTCCAGTACAATGTAATTTCTTTCATTCTCAAAACACGCTCCCATCTCATGAATCTTGCTGTATATTTCTGGCCAGAATAGTCAACAAAAATTTTCCAGTACTTAAAGTAACTGGATAAAAGCAGCGGAGAAAAAAATTCTTTGCATTCCTATTCTAGTAACTACAAAAGCAAAGGGACTGCATTCAAAATAGTGTAATGGTAATAACCAAAATCTCATCACTAGAAATATGACTATAACTTTTATGTTATAGAAATAGGAAATAGATATTTTTTTCATTATCAAAACCTAAAAGCACACTACTTGCAAAAAAGAGTTTTACCTGGAGCTTCTTCTAAATCACTGGAAAGGGTTGCTTCAAAGGCTTCTGCTATTTCTCTAAACCTAAACAAAAACAAAGACAGAATGGCATTTTCTGTGAGACTCCAGTAAAAAAATCTCATTTCAAGCTTGTATTTCACAATGCCCAGACCAAAAAGGATCACTTGGCCTTTATGTAACTATATTTTGGTGCCCAGAGAAGTACAGTGGTGCCTCGCATTGCGACATTAAATCGTTCCACAAAAATTGCTGCAGAACAAAAACGTCGCTATGTGATATTAAAAAGCCCATAGAAACGCATTGAAACCCCTTCAATGCGTTCCTATGGGCTTAAAACTCACTGTTCAGCGAAGATCCTCCATAGCGTGGCCATTTTCGCTGCCTCTTAAGCAAGGAATCCGTCCCTAAACACAGCGGGTGGCCATTTTGTTTACCTGGCGGCCATTTTGAAACCGCCAATCAGCTGTTTTAAAATCGTCGCTTTGCGATGCTCGGTTCCCGAAGCAGGGAACTGAGCATCGCAAAGGGAAATTGCCCCATAGGGAACATCGCAAAGGGATTGCTTTTGCGATTGCAAAAAATGTGTCACGGAGCGATGGCTATGCGAGGCACCACTGTATTTCTTTTCTTTTCCCAAGAGTTTTATCTTTTACTTTTTAGTACCTTCAGTGCTGATGTACTAATGTTTTTGCAAATGCAAATGCCACTTATTGGGTGATACATAAACTTTACTTATAGAAGAAATGTATTTACATTACAAATAAACTCAAGTATGCCTCCAGTATGATTTCTGAAGTATAAGAAGCCCAGGTTTTGTTGTTGTTGTTTTTGATAAAGCTTGGAAAATGGCAGTCACAAGAATTTTCTGTTATTGGTTTATTAAGCAAGATGCCCCAATTCACTCATTCATATTGTTTAAAAAAGCCTGGCAGACTCCAAAGGAACTGCCACATTACCATGGGTTTGCAACACAGTGTGTAGACATCCAGTGTATCTCTTCACTGTGCACCCTGCTTACCAATGACAAGCCCACAGCAAAACAATCCTGTCACCCAGACTAAAAAGAAGGCTGGTATGCTGTAGGGTCTGGGAATTAAGCCCATGTTTGCCTTCATGAAATCTCCCAGCAATAGTCCCTGGTTTTCTGAGCTTTGATTCTCGCCAGAATGTTTAGCTTGTGTTTCAAAACAAAAACTTTGGATTTGTGCATGCTGGAATCCACTTTTAAATTAAAGAGAAAATATAATATGCCTGAGAATCGAACTGTGAGATAATTACTAATTTCTGGATAGCCATGTACTACTTCCACTGTCCTGACAAAATAAATGGTTGTTTTACACTGCTGAAGTTCCAAAAAGAAGCAAAGGTGTGTCCTTGTTCTTGTATTTGATTTAGCTGGCCTATGCCTAGGTCTTATGACCATGGCACCAATACTTTCCAAAATGTTTGCTAATGGACAGTGGCAGAAAGTTCTGCAAACAATTCTAGGGGACAGAAATCAATAGTTCTTTCTGATGCCTTGAACTTTTTTTTTAAAAAAAGATAAACTTCTAAAAGTACTATCATAACCAGCTGAGTTTTCAGAAATATACGATTTCAGCATAAGCTGTTTTAGCAGTACATGTGGCAATTACTATCAATTTCTCTGGAAGAATTCTACCAACTGCAATGGACCCAAGGAAGACCAAATGGATGCCAAACAATTTCAGATTGATTAAGCAGATTTTATTACTCTTACACAGATCTTGCTTCTTAGGACGTAAACAGCTTCTTTTTATATGCACTGTTTTATTTAAATTGGCCTGTCACACAATTAGAAAAATACTGGCAAGTTACATATATGGGGCCAAATCCAACTCAACCATATTAGACCCACTGAATTAAGAGAATTTTAGTCATTCAACACTTATGTAATTCCTATCAGTAGATCTACTCTAGTTGGTATTAGCAACTCAATTTAGGTCTTTAGTCACTCAACTGATAAATTACTGCATCATGTATGAAAAGAAGTGTTCCAGAATAAGAAACTTTCTTTCTAACTTTTCAATAATGAGCACACATTGCAGCATCTGGTATCTATTTATTAACTATACTATGATGCTTCTGACACAAAGGAAGATCTTAAACAGCTTGGAGCACAGCTACCCGCTGGAGCGCTGGCCTCATTATAAACCTGTCCTGATGTTAGAATCTTCAGGAGAAGCCCTCTTAGCTGCAGAGGCCTGCTTAACAGGCACAAGTGAGAGGCTTTTCTCCTTTGGGGCTACCAGACTATAGAACACGCTCTCCACAGAACCTACATAGGAGTTGACTCAATAGTTCCTCACTAGAGATGGCCATGAACCGCTGGTTCAGCAGATGGCCAAACACACATTCTGTGGTTTAGCATCCTGCCCCCTCCAGTGGGTGCCCACTCACAGGCACAGAGGAGGAGGGGCAGGGAAGCCGGGGGACTGCTTCTGAGTGTGCGCCTGTGGGATGGGGGCACTGAACTCGCAGTTCATGCCCATCTGTATTCCCTCCTGATTTGATGGGCCTACTCTAGTTGTAATGCACTACTGGATTTCAGCTGACATATATGAATGTATGTATCTTGTTGATTCACTGATCTGATAACAATTTTTAACATCAACCTATATTGCTGTCTGGTAGCTAATAAGCCTGACTCCTTTTCTCCAAATGAAACACAGTTAAGGAACGTATCTGTCGTATGTCAAAAGACATCTCATTATCATTAAAGTCTGACAAATAAGATTTTTTTAAAAATCACAATCTAATGCTTGTTATGCCCACTCCTTGCCACTAGGAATAATGTGCTACAAATTTGCTGGGAGGAGAGACTTGAGAAAGCCTGGGAATTGTTTTGATACCATAATGAACAGACAGGATACAACTGTACTGCATGAATGAATATGAAAAAATACCTAAGAAAGTAAAGTTGCATGATGTCACAAAAACACATTTGGGTTTTACCAGTTTTTTATATTCTGCAGGCTAACAAGAAAACTGTGTGACTACTAAATAACTGAACGGTCAAATAGGACAAACTATTCCTGTTCCATCTGCAATCTCCCTCTCAAAAAAAAAAAAAAAAAAAAAAAAAAAACCTGACAAAATACACAACTGCAGAGTACCAAAGATGTATGAGAATAGAAAACTGGTCTATACTAGTTCTGATAAGAGAGAGGGTGAAGTAAAAGTTCATTGCACCTAAGATACTGACAATCTTGTCTGGCTTTTCTGATTATCAAGATGTAGAGCAAGCTGCATAGACATATTACATGTCATGATACTGATTCTGCTTTTCATTTCCAGTTTTGCTTCTGCTGTTTTTAGCAGACAGTAAGGAAATAGAAGTCTCATAATATAATATTACTTCTCACAGAAAGGTTCCAATTTAAATAAAACTCAAAATACTGACCTTATTTGGAAATAAACAGGCAAATTCCACTTATCATTAAAGTTCTGGTAGGAAGGGTGCAACCTCAGTCTTTTCACACTGGCTTGTGACCCACACTGTCGTTCAAACCTTCTTACAAAATCCATGCTTATTGTGTATTTCTAAAGAGAGAAAATATATGTTACCTTGCATGCAATTTTGTTCAGTTTAGAAATAGCTGTGCTACCTAATTACTATCTTCTAATTAGATATTTCATTAGTAGTGGAGTTAGAAAACGGCATAGTAAAGGAAAAATAGCATTTTCAGTGTTAATTATTTCTACCATTCTAACAATCAAATCACACACGTATTTATACAAAAGCAAATCCCACTGAGTTAAATGTAAAAAAAGGGAAGCAAAGAAGACCATTACAGAATACCTGGTGTTACAGAGCAACTTGAATGAGGGCAAAAGGCCCTCACACATTATTCTTTATTCTCCCTATTTCTCTCAATCTCTTGGGTCTTTCTGAATTTGCATTTTTCAGAATGTGTTCATGTGTGTGTTTCTTAATATTTTAACAAACCTGATGACCAACCTTCTAGGCAGTAAGAGTGGAGATCTTCAGTTAACAGAATCAGTAAAAAGCCTGATAATGAAGAAGACCATATGATACTTGCTCAGGATCACTTCATGTTACCAAATATTGAGTTTCCTTGACATCAAAGGTTAATCTTAGCATACAAATTACAAGATGTGGCTGCTGAAGTTGAGCATCTGGTACTAAACTTTTATTTTCTAGTATATCTTTCAATTTAAAGGTCTGCATCCATTCCTCAAGTCAAAAATGTGGTCATTGTACATATTCAATATTACCTCATGAAATGCATCTGGGTTCCCAGGATTAAACAGCGATGGCAATTTAACTTCTAATCCACGAACTATCTCTGGCCACACAGAATTTACCAAAAAATCATATCCAGGAACGGTATTCCCTTTTTCACTGCAAGATTAAATTGATATTTATCCAGTAAATATTTTTTATGAAAATATCAGAAATTCTGCTAAAACGTTTTCAAACCATAAACTGATATATTCTTGTTGCTATATGTAAGTAGGAACAAATAAAAATTAGATTTTACTTCTGTGTAATAGTTCAGAAAACTAAGGGCAGTGTTATAAAACAAAATCCTTTACAACTGTAATTCATCACAACTTAAATATTATTAAAATTATTGTAAGCCGCCCAGAGACCTCTGGGTAGAGTGGGCGGCATATAA